TGAAAAATGTATTGGTTTTACAATAATATTATGTTTTAAAACACATTTTTTTTGTGTCTGTCGTCTCGCCTTTTGCCATTTGGAGAAGTAAAAACTAAAAAGCGGGTAAGTGGGTAGCGCTCTGCTGTATTTAGGTGTTTAAAAAGTCACTATAATAGATATGTTAAATTTAAGTTCAATAACCATTGTATACGTAAAACGATTCTGAGCGAAGACAATCTGTCAGCAAATAATATTACTAAATAAATTGTATGATATTATTGTGATTTAAGTTATTTCTTATTTTTTTTACTATTATGCATTAGTACTAGAGTTAGTTTATTTTCAACACATTTTTCATAAAAAATTGCATTTTAAAATGTCATTAACCATTGTGTTTATAAAATTTAATAATATAGGTACACCAAAAATCCTATTTTTAATATAATATTGAAAAATTGGCTGGATTAATCTCATTCATTATAAGGGGCAGCCCCCAAAAGTTGAGTCAGTATACGGCTATATTGTAGACGACTGTGATAGTAGTATAATAGTATGGACCATAAAAGTACCAAGATGCGTCCTTATAAAGTAAACAGTAAATTGGCGAAAATTATTGGAAGAAACAACATCATTTTTCTGGTTGTTTAAAATTGAAGTACTCAATTATGTGCCACAATTCAATATGTCAATATTATTATGGATAACACTTTGAAAGCATAAGAGAAACCTTTTTTTAAAATATAATTACATACACACAGATTTTGAGTGTTGATTTTGTTCATGTAGTACATTTAGAAAAAGACAACTAGAACCTTTTATTCTTATAAAAAAGAAATCAAAACAATATTCTACATATGTAACAAGATAAAATAAAATAATTAAAATACTTAATGGGTTGCATAAAGAACTTATAGTAAACTTGTTACCGACCCAGTCTAATTTATTCATTCTAATAAGTTAATGGTTGTGTTAAACTATGTTAATATATTGCATAAAAAATATTAAATTATTGATAACCATGATTACCAAACATAATACAATTACCAATAACATTGATAACATCTATGATATTTCATCGACATCTATAAGACCTAACAGAACCAAAATATGATCTGTAGTTTACAGAACCATTAACACTATCGGGCGTTCAAGCAAAATAATCCAGTTTTATTTACAGAACCGTTAAGGTGGCTACACACGTAACTGCAAGCTTGTCAATCATGCAGATACAATTTTTTTGTACAAGTATGCATAATAATTTTCCTTTGTCACCACACGGCACAAGCATGCTTGAAAAGCAAGATCAGTTGTAAACATGTCGAGTTCGGACGATGACGCTCTCGCTCTAGCTGCTTTTGCTATAATTTTAAAAAAGAAAAAATTTTAGAAAAAACGTGCTATGTGGTGTAAAGATTGGTTGATGAAAAGGAAAACTTTTTCTCATATCAATTTATTAAATGAATTAAAAATATATCCACGAGATTGGCACAATTACCTTCGAATGGATGAAGAAACTTATTTAAACCTTTTGTCCCTAGTAACACCTTTAATTAAAAAACAAAATACCATAATGAGAGAAAGCATAACACCACATGAAAGATTAACGGCTACATTGAGATTTCTCGCAACCGGAAGAAGTTATGAAGACCTAAAATATTCTACTCTAATTTCACCACAGGCTCTAAGTTACATAGTTCCTGAAACATGCAATGCTATTTACAAGGTGCTAAAATCACAATATTTGAAGGTATGTATAATAAAATTATATTATATTTATTTAAAAACAAATTATGTCTTATATTATTATAATTTATTAAATACATGAATTTAATAATAATAATCAAATGCACCGAACATTAAAAATCGCTGTAATTTGAAATATAAGTTGATACAGATTGATTAGAATTCTCATCAGAAGAGCCATGTTCATGTTCATTAATATGAGTACCAAAGTTATTACGAATATCTGTTATTTGATTATTATACCCGTTGTTTGATTGCTGATATTGAATGATTGAAGGCGGTGGTAATTGCATAGATGTTATGGAATGTAACATGGTTAACTGCCCTGTTTCCGCCATAAATAGAGCTTCATTTATTATTTTTTCAGCAAACAATTTTTGATTGTTATCTTTTATGTCCTTCATTTTTAGAGCCACATGTTTTCCCATGACATCATATCTATCATCCTTTATTTTTGGTTTTTTGAAATGATGTTCAATTGTGTCTTTTAATGAATCGCATTTGTCATTACTTCGTTTAGAGGGTCTTGGTGATTTTTTAGACGAGGTTGATTGAATTGGATTATCTTCAGATGGAAAACATTCGATTTCTTTTGTATAATTATTATCAGCTTCCTTGGTATCAGATTCCTCTAGATTATCTACTACATTTTCTTCCTAAAATTAATAATAAAATGTCAATAATGTAATTTCATAGTATAAATAAAATATCTGAACAATTATTTATTAATACGTATTTTAGATTAGCAATGAAATAAAAGAGTTGGTTTTACAGTGATTTATTTTTTCAACATGAAATTGTTCATATTTTTTCAGTTCCCACAAACAGAAAATGATTGGAATATTATAGCGAGCGAATTCGAAAAGAGGTGGAATTTTCCTCACTGTCTTGGATGTATTGATGGAAAACACATTGAGATAGTTCCACCTTCTGGTAGTGGTTCATATTTTTATAATTATAAACAAAGACATAGTATGGTCCTACTCGCCATTGCAGATGCAAAATATAGATTCATTTTATTTGATTTCGGTACTAATGGCCGAGTATCCGATGGGGGTATTCTTCAGAATACAGTTTTCTATAGAAAACTAAAAGATAATTTATTAAATATTCCAAAAGAAACAAAAGTCACAAATAGTTTTCGAAAACTACCATATGTTTTTATTGGAGACGATGCTTTTCCTCTAAGATCTGATATACTTAAACCATTTAGACAGAATGATTTGAATTGTAATGAAAAAAAAATTTATAACTATCGATTATCAAGGGCACGGCGAATTATTGAAAATGTATTTGGAATTTTAACATCACGCTTTAGAATATTTCACACCGCAATAAATTTAAAATTAGAACATATTGATTCAGTAGTTAAAGCAAGTTGTGCTTTACATAATTATTTAATGTCAACCGTCAGTCAAATGTACGCTCCATCAGAATGTATGGATTCTGAAGACATAGATAATGGTACATTCCGCACAGGATTGTCGTCGAGTAATTCGAACATGTTGCCTTTACAATGTTCAGCAAATATTGGAAACATACCGACAAACGCAAAACAAGTAAGGTGTGAATTTATGAACTACTTTAACACTGATGGACAAGTACCTTGGCAGCATAACTTTATACATTAGAATATTTACTGAAAATTGTAATTTAAAAATTGAAATGTAACTAAAAAAAAATGTATTTTTTTTAATCTTATTGATATTTACATATTTATTTTGTTTATGAACTTATTGCTTATTACTTATCGGAAGGTCCTATGTAATTTTTTTTAATAATATTTAATCGTTTTTAATATCAATATAATGTGATTATTCATCAAACCAAAAATAGTTTTTATATGATTAATGAATATAATTTTGATTTTTTTTTCAGTTACGATAATATATAAAAATAAATAAAAAATATAAAAATATGCTATATAAAATAAATTTTAATCAAATATAAATAAAATGTACCTCTCTTTCATCAATGTTAGAGAATGAGTTTCTTGGTGTCTCTTGATCGCTTAGAAAGTCGAACAAGTTGTAGTACCAAAGACTTGGTTCGTATACATCATCTGCACCAGTACCAGAGCGACGAGATTCTTCAATTTTTTTTCTTTTCTCTTCTAAAATTAGTTCTGAAGCTATTTATTTTTTTTACAACCGCATCACGGTCTGCGTTCGGATCAATTAATTTATATTTTTCTAATAAAATTTTATACGCTGCTTCTTTTTTCGGCTTATCTTGGTATTTTTTAGATTTAATCCGCCACAAACATGGTAGTCCTTGGTAAGCACGAATAAAATCTTCAAGAAGTTCTCTATGCCCTTTTCGTATATCTGAAGTCATCTTTTGTAATTTTTTTTAAATTACAAACTACAAACTACAATTTCTCCACAAAACAAAACAAGACGTAATCACGTTTAATCACAGTTTATTATTGATTGTTCTAATTAGCTGTACGACGCGTACTGTACGCACATCGCGACGTGCGTACACACGTTCAGATTTGCTTGTACCAGCGCGACTTGTACAAGCATGCAGATGAAAATGTCATCAATCTTCATTCCGCTTGTACAATCACAATGCTTGCACAAAATTATCATACAGACGCTCAAGTATGCTTGTACAAAATGATTGTATGTACATGATTGACAAGCTTACAGTTACGTGTGTAGCCACCTTCGGTTATCGGTACGCTAACGCTTCTGTAACTCGCTAAAGCCCACAAGACGTTTATACAACCTACCATTAAGTCTAAAAACGCTTTATTATTGAATAAGCTTTCTTTTTAAATACTTAAATTATTATAAAATATAAATACTTATCTACTATATATTACTTTGCATTGTAAATCAAAATCAGACCTACTTGAAATGTTCACCAAATATTGATTATTTTTGCTGTGTCAAACAGCTTGAAAAATCAATACAAGGTTTCTCATAAGTTTTTTTAGTGTCAAAAGATACATGGAAGCAATTTTTTTATAAGCATTTAAAATTCGAACTTTGACAAAATTCGTAAAATTACAAAAATGTACAAGTAATTTTGTAACTACAAATTTATAGAATTTTCAATGTTGCATAGGTTTGAAGTGTTTGGACATTTAATTCGGGGTTTCTCATAGCTAGTCCATATTGTGACTAAAAAGTAGAGTAAATAATTTAAGATGGTCAGCAAAAACGGTAAATAACTTAATTATTATAAACTAGACACAAGTATTATTTACTATGAATTATGATTATAATACTACTTACTATACTTATAAGTACTAGGTATTGATTTATGGTAATTTTGGTATTTTATTAATAATTTTTTGAAACTATATCAGACAATTTGTTCCTGGTAGGATTGTTTATAAATCCTGTGTTAACTGATAACTACAAACATGTAGAATAAAGATAAGTTTTTAATTTATATTATCAGGTACAAGTACTAGTCGAAAACGTACATAGATATATTGACGTATCGTTGTAACCTGTAGGTATTAGATAGACAATAATATTTACCTATAAAATATAGTACCTAATTCGGTATATCAGTTGTCTTGGAGACACATGTCTACTTTTATCACTACTTCTATGAATAAATGCGTATAAATACAACTTGTGTTACTATGTACAAGTTACTAAGGAAATATAATTGTCGAAAATATTGACCAAACTTCTAAAAACTTAAGTATAATTTGATACGATTGCCTAGGTTTAATAATAATTTAACAACCATTCAAGTTGTACAGTAGCCAGTCAGAAGGTATACGATGGATATTATATCACAAAACGAAGTTGGTTTTTTCATTGATCATATTAAAGAATCAAAAATTAATGAGCTTGGATCGAAAATGTAATTAAATTAGTTTTTAAATAATAGTAATATAAATGTACAGAAAAACGTGTGTTGTAGATGGTACGATAGTCATGATCGTTTGCAAAAACTTAACCAACAGGCTACATTGGATGCTACTGAAGGTCGAGAAGAATATATCAAGGATCAACTCATCAGTTACGGAAAAGTAGTGAAGCTATTACCTCAACAATGGTGTCTAAAAGTCTTATGAAATTTATATCTTGTATTATATTTGTACTTTTAAGGTTCCTATTATTGTACATGAAGCAATTTGTGTAGCGATATGGAGAGAGAAAGTACTTCCAGAAGTACTGTGTATTGCACCAAATCCTACACAATCATTCACATTATATTTTATCGTAAGTTTTTATTATATAATCGTTTAATATTTGGTGTAATATATAAAATATATGTATATGCAATGATATAATTACTATTTTAGTTGTTTCATGAAACTGTGGCTGTTGGATTGCTACAAAAGATTCTATTTCACGAGGAAGGTGTTCAGTCACTAGGAAATTATGCTTTAGATCTGTTTGACCATATTATATTTTCAATCACCCATATAGCCATTGGGTACTATAAATAAAAATACTAAATTAATTTTTAATATGCATACATTTTTATTTTATTATGGGTTCAGAAATACAAATAATTTCCAAATCTCCTCAAAAACATGTGATACGTCGGTAGTGGATGAAATAATTGAACATAAACATAGAATACAATTTGAAGTGGGAATTTGTTGTATTGGCATAATGTTTAACATGTTACTACATATAAAAAAGTAAAATAATTATTTATATATAAAGCTAAATTGAAATAGTTTAAAATACAATGTGGCATGTGCGCCGTGCGGCTCAAAAAAATTTATATTATAGAAAATGTAGTATAGCTATAATAGCCACCTAATTAGTAAATTATACGTATATAATATATTTGTATGTTCATCATAGCTTATCGTTATCTGTTACTACAAGAATGACAACTAATAATGATGTACCAATGTTAATATGTCAATTATTAAATGTAAAACCTTGGATTAAGTTGGAAAACAATAAAAAATATATTTTTCAAGGTAAGTAAAATCACTATAAGTAGGTAACCAACTTGTTAAAAATTAGTATAAGTAGTATTTATTTGGAGTGTATTTTGAACAGATAATGCATGGAAAATAATGGACGAAAAAAATAATATTATACCAAAACAAGAAGCCCATTTATGGTTAAGCCTCCACGAATTTTTCACATCGGAACAACTACGTAACAGTTATGAAATCACTCAATTTCGGAAAAAAAATCTTATGCAGGTGAATGTAATAAATAATAATCTAATAAGCAACTTGGATTGTTTATTTACCTGTTTAATATGTTCGACAAAAGGAACAAAAAAATGCCCTATGCATAAATATCAATACATAACACAGATTATTTTATATGTAAACAATTTTTCGATCTTACAAAAAAACTTGTTGTTAGTTAATAGTTGTAAGTTTAAGATTCTTTATTGCTAATAGGTTTTTTACCTTTACCTATCAAAAAAAAATTGAGTGTTTCATGGAAAACGATCTACTTATTTAGTTGTAATTAAAAAAACAATTTACTGCAGATAAGTACCTAGGTATACTTGAAATATTTACCGAATATTTACTATATAATTGTCTATACATGATATGATTTTCAAAATGTTTTGACTTTTTTTATACCTAATAGACATTTTCAATTTTTTTTCTATGAATATCACTAAAATTGACAAAACTCATCAAAATCTCGAAAATTGGCAATTTATTTTGTAGCTTAAACTTTAACTAAAAAATACACAATCACCCAAATTGTTACTTTACCCATAACACATAATAAATTATCCATCGGCGACCGCTGGGCAGTGGGTGGGCATACCCCCCTCTATTTTAGTTAATATTAATTTTATAATCACTTGAAAAACAAACAAAAACGAAAAAATGCCTATGTGCTGTGTTATCAGACATTTTTTACTTGCTCCCTCAATACCCGGCTATTATATTTCAGTATTCTGAAGATCCCTTATTGATGATATTGATGAATGCCTATAGTGTTCGCAATTATTTTAATTATTTATACGCTCCATCACTATATTATGTTAATATTTTATACATACCACATTAGTACATTACCACTAGTCACTAGCTACATAATATGATATTGCTTAAAAACCAAAATCATAAGTCCCGAAACCTTTTTTTGCAAAAACAGAAATCATATACCTACCTACCTACCTTTTCCGTTTTTGGCGGAGTACCTAATATCTACACAGTGAAATTTGTTAATTAGTGTATAGTGTTATTTATAATATACTTACATATCTAATTATTTTCTTTGATATTTTATTAGCTACAACAATTACTCAATGATTGCCTTCTGGATCAAATTCCCCCATTGATACACTTAAAGCAATGTTTATATCAGTTGAGTTTAACAGAAGTTTCAACAATATTTAAACGACCTCTTATAATAGAATTAAATGCAGAAGTAAGATATTTTAAATAGCAGGGCTTGTAAGTTCACACACTAAAAAACATTTGACTAAATATACAGTCGAGTCGCAGTATCTCGAAGTTGAAGGGGGATAAAAATTCACTTCGAGATTGGTAACTAACTCAAATTTATCAAAATTAAATAAAAACCTCGAGTTATGTAATGAAATATAATTTACTTAGATACACTGATATTAAAAACGTTGCATATGCATTAAAAATGCGTTTAATTATTCAATAAAACATCATAATATGAAAAAAATATATATTAATTTTAAGCTCTAGTGAGAAGACCCCTCAGTTCTGACCGATATTGTAATATTTACTGATATCTGTTTATTCATTGTTATTATTGTTCATTTCTAAAACGAATTAATTTCATCTTAATCTTATTTATAATACATATTGTAGTTACTATCATTTTCAACAATTCAACTGAGTTTGTTTATGATTCTTATTTATAAATTATGATTATAGGTATCTATTTAAGTACTGACTTATGGCTAGGTACTAAAAAATCTAGACTGCTTTTGAAGATTTAAAACCAATTTTGTTATTTTCTTACATAAAAACTATTCACAAGAATTTTAAATTTTCTTTAAATAAAAAAAAATTTTAAATGAGAAAAAATATGCTGAAAACCTTAGTATATTAAATTATAATATATTTTATGCAAAATAAAATGTCATATATTGAATCCTTGAATCCCAAAATATAAATTTCTATGTTACCTAGCATTCAAAACAACATACCGAGATTAATATGCAAATACATGAACTTACCAGCTCTGTAAATAAAAATTATACATTTAAAACAAACTTATTTAAAAGATAATTGAAAAGTTTATAATAGAGTTATATTTCTTTCAATTAGATTAGGACTACTATTTTAAATACTTATTCAAGACAATGGAAAAAAATTGCTAGAACTCAAGTAGCTTATTTGTTTGGAAATGATTCATGTGATGTAGCTAAATCGTAAGTATGATCAAATGTATTTAATGTATGGAATGTAATAACTAACAACACATTTTTTTTTTTTTAATATAGTGTTAATATGGAATAATATTTTATGGTTTGTTCCTATATTTATTTTCCCTTTTAGGTTCTGAGTGGAGAAATATGATTGTTGTGGTTTTATAGTGTTTTTATTTTATTATACCTGAAGCTACTTTTTTAATAGAAAAACAAAAAAACAAACATTATAAAATAATAAGTTTTCTGACAAAAATTAAAATTTTATTGTAAATACCTATATAAACTATCTCTGCTCAGAATTTTTATCCATTGTGTATTACTGGTTTTTGTTATAAATATATATAATATAAGTCAAATTTAACTCATCCATATCCATTACAGTGACTAAATACTAATATAGCTAGATCCCTGTTTTTTTTTAGATTGAGTGAAACATATGAACATATTGATCATTTTGAGACTAAAGAAAATATTTGTGCTCATTGCAGACAACCAGCAAAAAATAGGTGCTCCAAGTGCAAAAAGCAGTGGTATTGTAGCCGGTAATTAACAAAAAAAAAAATTGATAGTAAACTTAAATTTTAAAATAAATTACTGTTGTTTTCAGGAAATGCCAAGTAACCAATTGGGATGAACATAAAATCATCTGTCAGTAATGTACGAAATATATTTTCTATGTATATAATATCTAGGATATATTTTTTATTCTGTACATTTTTGTTATATATATTAATTTTGACAAATTCGTTGTCAGTATAATATTATTCAATAAATGACTGTATCATCTCTAACATAGACTCTGGTTTTGGTTTTTCACATGTCCCAGTTAAAATATAACCAGCTTCCTTAATTGCAGCACCTGTGGTAGGACCAATAGCGAAAATCTGTAAAATGTAAAATTAATATTTATAATTATAAATAAATTAAGATTTGCTGAAACATATACTTTGCTGTTATATTTTGTTCTAATTTAATAATTTTAACAAAACATATACGATGTCTATATGAGGACCAATATGTGTTTTTTCCGTCTTACCAATGCGTAACATAGAAAATGTATAAAAGAACTCATTTAGCTTCGTAAGTTAATAATACTTAGGATAACCGGCTATTTTAATTTTTGCGGTAAAAACTATTTTTTTTTGGAATATTTTAATTTTGAGGATAGTTATCAGCATTTTTTAAATTTTAATATTTTACATAATCACGACCTTAAATTATTTCAAAATAAAAACACAATTTCAATACACCATTGTAAATATGGTGATCTTCAATAAATAGTAGAATTCACTCTAATATTAAAACTAACAAAGCTAAATGACAACTGGTGAACATATTAAAAGGGAACTGGTTGGTGGAAATAACACAATTGGGTATAAAAGAATGTTTATTAAAATTGTTCAAATTCATACAGAACTAATAAATTTACCAACCATCATTTTGATACATTTAAATGCAACACTAAAACCACTAATTTTGATTTTTGTGCTTATTATAACACAGAACAGCATTCGTAATAAAATGTTTACTTTATATTGTAAAAAAATAAAACTTTTCTTATCTATTATAGTTTGAATTAAGGAAGTAAAATGATACATATTATAGTAAATAGTGTTCCAACCAGTGGCATAATTTGAAGGGAGAGGCAGGTGGGCATTTGCCCTTGTCTAGTAGTAAAAACAGTTCAATGATTAGGCAGGTTGTTGGTGAAATAAATATATAAATAAATAATATACATTTTTATAATTCAATTTTGAGTAAATATTATATTATGTAAGCACTAAAAACTATTTTCAAGATAATAATTAATATTTTTAGTTAGTACAAATATAATATAGATGCTGATGCTGATATCGATCGCTTTCAAATTTATTTCAAAAAAAACCAATATAGTGGATATAACCTATTTAAAATTGTCCGATTAGCAATCCTGGTTTATATTGTCATTTAATTTGTTCTACTAATCTAGAAAAGTATCAAATTATGCCACTGAGGACCATGATTATTTAGCTCTTCCACATTTTTTTCACTTTAAAATGAGACTATTTTTGCTTCGAAGAAGTATAAATTTATGTAATATGATGATTGTATTGAGATAAAAGTGTTGCAAGGCTTGCAAACAAAGCCATTGTTTTTTTTTTCAAGCTGGCTAAATCCGAATTTCAAAATTATTAAAAATTGTTATTTATCAAACAATATTAATAACAAAATGTATATAATGAAACAAAGTAATTTTTTGTATCTTGTATTTACTCCTTTGTTCAAGGTTATACTTACATGTAATTGACTAAATAATTGTTTTGGTATCAAATCTAATATTGCACGAAAGCCAGAAGGACTAAAAAAAATAACTCCTATTTGGTCTTTAATTTGATTCAACACCATATTTAAATTTGTCCTTAAATTATTATGTGGTATAGTTCGGTAAACTTCTATATTTTCAAATTTAACAGTTTTTATAGTATCTGATAATATATTTATGTTTAGATTTCCACATGGAGCTAATAATGGTTTGCTTAATTCATCTAAAAATTAAAAACATGAATTAATAAAAACAAAAATACTTATGTAGGAATTTGTTTTTTTTTTCTAATACTATACATTTTAAAATAGTAGGTATTAAAGCTGTAGCATTGCCACTATCAGCCCCAATTGGCTCAAGACTGAGTTCTTTGTTTATTAGCCGAGCTGTTGTTTCTCCAACAACAAATATAGGTTTTTTCTGCCAATTTTCATCTAGCTTAACACCAGCCAAACTCTTTATGACTCCTCTTGCACATCTAGGACTAGTTATTACCATACCTAAATAAAACATAATTAAAAAATATTAATAGTAAATTATTATGGCAAATACTCTAATAAGTGCTTTTAAAAAACAAATCTCCTTCAAACGTTTCTAAAAATAATTGACGTTCATTTCAATTAATTAGTCTTGATTTACCTGCTACGATACAGAAATTAGTGTAGGTAAATATACAAAATAAAGGTTACAATCATGATAACTTAAAATGATTTTAAAATCGTCATCAAAATAATACAAAGGTAATAGGTATAAATAATAATGACAAATTTTACTAACCAGAGTAATTTTGTGGCTTTTGCAGTTTTTGATTAAGCGTATCAAAGTTATGATATTCAAATTCTAAAGTGGGTACTAACTGAGCTTCATATCCCTGATTTTTTAAAATATTTAAGTATGGATCTATTGGCTCATTTTCTTCTGAATAAGCTTTAAAAATTATGAAAGTTGTATTAGATTTAGAATGAGACATAACTTAAATTTGTAGTAAAATAAAACTCAACTTCGGTTGTACAACAATATTTTACAATAAATTACATAAATCACTTTTACAAAATTCAAAATATGAAAATTTTTAAACACGAACAAAAGTATTGATGTAGTATGGCTTATAAAGTTTCATTTCCTTCAATTATCATTGAACTTATAAATCTATTATTTATATTTACAATTTTCTACGTAATCATTGTTGTAGAATAAAAATTAACTGAAAAATGTGTTATCAACCAAGATTGAAGTCATATCGTTTATCAGATATTCAGTAATGTTATCAATTATCATTTTAGACTATGGTTATCATGAGTAAATATGGTAACAAGTACAACCATGGCTATAGATACTAGTATCACAGATGTCTATATTATACTAGATACCGAACTGGGCGGTTTCTATATTACGAAAAGTGAGGCACACTGATAAGACAGCCGCCATGTTTTCGGTTGGCAAAAAACTATTTACTAGCCACAGACACGAATTAAGATATCTTAATTCGTGGCCACAGATCTCTATAATAAATATTATATACATTGTACAATGCAAAAAAAAAACAAAATAATATAGGTAGTAATTAAAATCATATAATTTTATTTTAAAAGTATGCATGCCATAGGTAAATATTTTTATTGATGGTTAAATAATACTAGCTTTGTTAATAAACGCCGTTTACTCACAATATCGGATGTTTTAGATTTTGCAACATGGTGTAATCTAATTTTTAAATATTCTTTACAAATAATAGTAACTAATTCTAATTTATGGTTTTCTAAGAATCCATCATTATGACATTTTACATCAACTAAAATATTAGAATTATAAACGTAATTTTTTGCAAAAATAATTATCTTTGACGTTAAACTAGAATTCAACATTTTAATTGATTTAAAATTAAAAGTTAAATCTATAAGTGTTTTTTCAACAAATTTCACAACTTTTACAACAAAAGATGAACTTTTTACCAGCCCACTTCTANTTGAGCAGCTAGCTTGACTTTCATAATATTTTTTTTCCATTCCATGTGTGTAGCTGTCAATTTATTAGCTAAATTTAAACCAATATTTTCTTGAGCTAAACAAGCAAGCAAAATAATTTGGGAAAATAAATTAAAACAGTGAAGTATAAAAATACATTGTGTGTGCAAATACATGTTCTCATATAACAATTATAATTATACAATTGCAAAACAATGAACAAACCATTTTTTAACTTTTGTATGTATTCCCAATTTATTACACCATCATCACTTTTAAGTTTTCTATAAGTTGCTAAAGTATTTCGAGCCAGTTTTAAGTTATGACATGCGTCCGGTACATAGCATATCTAAAAAGTAAATATAAATATTGTAATATTTTATACTTTTATTATCACATACAATAAAAGTAAAATACCTTCCGATCTATATCAGGAACAAAAAAATACTCCACTATTTCAGAATAAGAACCTTTTATTTTACAACCCAGTTGTTTCATCGTTGATAAATTAGCTGAAGTTCCATCACATGTAACTGACCAAACACGCACACCAACACTGTTTGCCATGGTAATTGCTGTTTTTATAAGTCCAGCTTGTATTGAAGCCGAGCTTTTACATTGAAGGAAATACCCAATTGGAAATTTCCATTTACCGTTTAGACAAACCAACATAAATACAAGTGCTTCAGTGGCTTCAGTTTCTTGCGATTCAACTTGAATATTACCAAAATCACAATAGCCTAAAAATCTGTCATGACTTGAATCATAAATAATTTTTTTACGAATCGCTACAGCATCAAATACTAAATTGCAGTCATAATCTTCAGAAGGTATGTTTTCCTTTATAAATGTAAAAACTTCTTGGAAAAATCCCGGCTCAGCATTGACTGATGAAGTCCAATTAGTGATTGTTGATGGATGGGGTAAACTTAAAATAGTTCTACAAATACAAAACAATTAGAATTTATCATAATTTAAAAAAAAAAGTATTTACCTGCAAAAGTTATAGGCTTTAGGAGAGTAGTAATGTAAGGTTAAAGCTAATTGTTTCATTTCTTTTGTGTATCTTCGACCAGTAGTTTTATTACTGTTTTTAGATTCATTCTTAAATAAATCAATAACTGAATCTGCAAAATTTATAGTTTGTAATTTAAATCACAAAAAGGGTAAATTAACCTTATTACTTTAATTTAATTTACCATTAAAATTATTTAAAATAATATTTTGTTGTTCCAAATCAATATGCCCTTTATTTTTTAATTTTTTTAGTAAATCTGCCATATTATTGATTTTATTTGATTTTCGTCTTAATTTTTGGCGCAGTGATTTAATTCTTCGCTTTAACTTAACTTCTGTAGTATAAGTATTTGATGTTTGTACTTCTACATCAGTAAATGTAGGTGCATTATCAACTTCAAGACATGTGTTATCGACATTAGACTCAT